AAAGCGGGACGTGCCACTCATGGCAGCATCAGCAACTCGCCGAGTAGACACCGACCCGGACGGCTGCCACTTCATGAGAGCATGGTGCTAGCCCCTGGGAACTCACCGACCATCACTGCTCCACGCACAGCAGCAACAGAGTCTCAGTGAAAGAGGTAACTGCCGTTTTGAATATCTAGCGGGGTGCTTTTCCTCAGACTCAACAGAGCCCCGCACCCCCCCGTGTAGGACGTCACTACGCACTAGTGCATGTTGTTCCTACATGGTCAAGCGCTTGGGTGTACCACCACCCACTTCAACAGCCAGCCCAGGCCAGATCTGTAGCTGTACTCTGGAGCGTGCAGCGCAGGCCTTCGAAGGGCAGCTGCTGCCCCAACCTTGCTAGGCTCGCAACTCGGTCGGTCCTCTTGCTGTGGCAACTCAGGATTGGTAGGGCCAAAGCTTGCCCAACTTTAACTCCAATCTGGTTATCAGTCCGTACTTGACGAAGTCTGCGTCAGTCCCTTAGTTCATAATAGGTGGCAACCCCAAACGCAGTGAGCAGCTCCTCGCTTGTAGCCGTCAACCTCAACAGCGGCAGGCTCCCCAAAAGTAACTTGTAAGTTCCTGCTTCCTGGCAGCTTCAGCAGCAGGTGGACCTATGCTCATCAGCCCAGAACGTGGTCTCGCAGCTCAGACCAGGTCCGCCTATTGCTCTTCCCTGTTTTTGCCCGATGAGTACCACTCCCAGCAGCGCCCACAGTTGTGCATCACCCCCAATCCGCCACTGCTCCAATCTAAGCGGCGAGGCTACGACGGTAACCAAGCAATGACCCAGTCTGCGGTACTGGTAGGACCCAGCTAAACTGTGTATGACAACGGATGAACTCGGAGACCAACTATGTTTGTGTGACTATGGGCCCAATCCTGTGTTCTGTTCATTACACTGTGGGCGGAAACAGGGAATGGATCTTTGGCTTGCAGATGGGAAGATATACCGTCAGTTACAGCAAGTAACCCGTGTCTTTTTCCCACTCGCCCCTACCCTTTTCCACCTCTCATACTTCCTCCTTGCTACTCAATGTACCTGGCCAACTCCTTGCCCTGGTTCACCTGTCTAGAGAAGACTGCCGTTCTAGCCAGGCAACCGGGCCCCGCTCTACTAGTTAGAAGAAGCCCGCTCTCCTTGTAGAAGGTGAGGGTGATGGCGTGCAGCCACAGTCCCGCCTCCTACTCACCTAGTATGCCAAAATGAAAATAATAAAAAAAACATATATATGTATTTATAAAAAGCAAAAAAAGAAGATGGACAAATGAGGAGGAATCTCTCGTTGGAACGCGACCAGGTTCATCTCCCCGCGCAATATTCACCCCACATACCGGCCACATGACCTACTAAATCCAAAATCCGACGAGACAGACGGATTTGCCATGTCAAAAAACCCCTGTTTAGAGTCCTGGCTTGCTCAAAACAACCACCGAACGTCCGAGATTAAAAAACTTACTCCCTCCTTTCTCCCCCCCGGTACTCCGCGCACAGTCTCCTCTACTTAACTCCCATATTACCACTCTAGCAGCCAAACCAACACCTTCACTGAATTCGCCCCTCCTTAGACCCGCAGTCTCAGCTCTCTCTTCGCCGGAGTCCGCTGAGAATCAAGGATACTATGAACTCTCCCCTCCGTCACAACCCGTCGCCACCTTCGCCTTCCACACCAACCCCTCCTTCAAATGCACCTGGCGCAGATCCATGCCAGATCCACTCCCCTCTTTTCCCTTTCCTCGTAGCCTCTCCTTCACCGTCTCGCTGCACAGCCCCAACGCTCATTGGTCCTTCTGCCTCATCCTTCCTGTTCCCCCTCTCTCCCTACCTCACCACTCATGCACTCGGCGCCGTTCCCTGTCCACATTCACTTACCCTTCACGTAGACCGTTTCCTGTCCACATTCACTTGCCCTTCACGTAGCGCTGCACCCTCCGGCACTACCTCCTTCTGGTATCATTGCCTACTACTTAGTAGTAGCACTCTGCCTCGCGGCCGTGTACCAACTCTTCTCGTGACCCCGCTGAGGGTGAGGGCCTCTCTCTCTCTCTCTCTCTCTCTCTCTCTCTCTCTCTCTCTCTCTCTCTCTCTCTCTCTCTCTCTCTCTCACCTCCGTTCCTACTCTGTTGCAGTCACCCACACTACGCCATGTAGTCCCCCAACGCCTTGTCCATCCTAAGTCCCGCACGTACCCGGTCCGAAACTGCGCCCGGGTTCGTCCCCCTCGATCGGCCAACCAGTTGCCTACCACCTTCGCCCATCCGCCGCTATCCTTGTAGCGCAGCGTCAGGCGATCAGCTYGGCCGGGAGGACGGGCAGCAGCGGCAGCCCACCATGTGCCAGGGTAACAGCAAAGTGTCGGGCTGCCCCCCTCCCGACTTTATACCTACCGTGCGCAAGCGCCCTGCTAGTCTTCGCTGTATTGTTCCAATGTCAACGGATGTCCCGAAGGACTGCCCGGTAGTAGCCCTGCCCCCTCGGCAGTTCGTGACCGAACTAAGCCGCTGGGCTTACTGCAGGTCCCGGTTTTATCAAAAAAATAAATAAATAAATAAATAAAAGGTAAAAAATATATATATATAAAAAGATAAAAAAGGTTTTAAACCCCAGACAAAAATAGAGAAAAATGAAAACGGACGGGGGAGGGGGACCGTTTGCCCCTGGTCCTACCCTCAAGGGCCCGTGGCTGGACTCCCCCAACAAAACCAAAGGGAAATGTCTCACGGGACCCTCAACCCTTCGGCCCTTGTGCACTCCTCCTCTGCTCCGCTGCTCTGCTTTGGCCTCAATCCTAGGATCCGTCTGGTGAAAGGTCAATGCTATAACCTATAGAGCTAAGCCCCAGCTTAGAGGTACCAGGCGCAGTCCTACTCATAAGGAGTAAGGGCAGCCCCTTCAGGCCTGCAAACAGTACTTCAGGCCATTTCTCTACCTTGCCGCTTGCGTCCAAGGACCCACCGGGCACCCATGTATTACCTTGGAGGACACGACCTTGCCAGGCTCGCCGTGCGCGTTGCCGCATCATGCTGCGGCTATGGCCGGGCTCTCCCACTCCCTCACATTCATCAAGGAATTGCCCGTTCTACCACCTTTGGGCCGAAGCCGCCCCGATTTCTACTCCCTGTGCCTCCGACCCGCGCCCTCCTGGCTAAGGCCCGCCACGGCCTCTACTGTCGGTAGCGCATGGTCAATCAAAAGCCTGCGAATTTTTACGCCGCGCGGCCCTGAACCGTCGGTTCCCAGTAAGTTGGACAACGCTTTCCTCTCAGTCACTGCCTTACCTGGTCAATCTTCACGCCGTCCTGCATTCCGACCGTGTGTGTGAGTCTGCGACTGCCTCAGAACCTCTAGTGTAACACTCACTTGTCCTACTGGTGTCGCACGGCCCCCCTCGACTCAGACTCGGTCAAGCTAACGCGCGCCTACAAAGTGCACGCTCACATACCCTCTAATCAACACAGATGGGGCGTGCCCGCAGATATCGCCAGGCGCGCTCTTCCTGTAAGCTGCAAAAATGTGCCCAAATACCCTTGTAAGGGTATTCGGGCCTACAGCGGGTCCGCAATTACCAATCTGCATGAGTAGGAAGGCCCGCCGTGAATACGAGCCTGTAACCTTGGAATTTGAACGTCTGTTCTCAACCATAATTGCACGCACTAACTACCGAGGCCGTGCCGGTGCTAACCACTGGCTGTGCCAAAAATTCGGAACGCCCCTTTCTCGCCTGAACCACTTGCATCCTTGTCCTTGGAACATTGGCACCGAAGATTCCAGCTCCAAGCTGGGACTCCACCCCTTTTTCCTAAAATCTTTGGCACACCCCCTTTTTCACTACTTCCAGACCCATACAGGAGCGGCCTATAGCAGGGCCAAGTACTGGTGGTTCTGGCATGCCCAGTGACTTGGGTTCGAGTGAGTAGTGGGTCTGCCCAGTGACTTGGGTTCGAGTGTGTACCCCTTGAACACTAACAATTACACTCCTCCCCGAATAGAAACTTAAACCACCAGTACTTCCTAAAGTCGCGTAGCGTAACGCTACACAATTTTAGGAACGTACGGGCCACTACAGGAGCGCCCAAATTCATCCAACTAGAAACGTTTCTACTCTATTTTTTTTCCTCGGCCGATAGCTGGGCCAAGTAGTGGTGGCTTAAGGAACATGGCGTGCTCATTGACTTGAGTTTGAACCCCGAGGGATGTGACGCCCAACTTCACGCCCAGCGCAATGTTCCTTAAACCACCAGTACTTGGCCCAGCTATAGGCCGCCCAAAAAAAATAGAGTAGAAACGTTTCTAGTTGGATGAATTTGGGCGCTCCTGTAGTGGCCCGTACGTTTCCTAAAATTGCGTAGCGTTAGTACTGGTGGTTTAAGTTTCTATGTGGGGAGGAGTGTAGTTGCTTAGTGTTCAAGGGGTACACACTCGAACCCAAGTCACTGGGCATGCCAAGTCACTGGGCAGACCCACTACTCACTCGAACCCAAGTCACTGGGCATGCCAGAACCACCAGTACTTGGCCCTGCTACAGGCCGCTCCTCTACTGACCCGTACATTTCCTAAAATTGTGGCTTGTTAACGGGCACAACTCTAGGAAGTACTGGTGTCTTCTCCTCATGGGGGCACATCTATGTATATATATATTTTCTCTCACCTCACATATTTTAACTGGCCTCCTGCCATGTCATGGAACATACCTTTTTCACTACTCCTTCAAGCTCCACGGTGGACGCTGCTGCGTAGCTTTCTGCCTCTCTTCGGTGAAGGGAGGTTGCCTCTCTCGGTGGAGGGAGGTAAGGGCATGTTTGCCCCTTTGCCGTAATGTTTAGGGTGGAGGGTTGGGGCCGCCAGTGGGGGCGCCATCCTCCTTTCTACTTGGGTAGGAGTGTAATTGTTAATGTTCAAGGGGTACACACTACTCGTGGGTACGAATGCACTCTGGACGGTCAGACACGAAAGTACTGAGTAGTAGCGTGAGTATGCCGTTCATGTGTTGTGTGTGGGGTCGTGCAGGTTTTATCCTCGAAGCAGGGCCCCACCCTACTCCCCGACCACCTCCAATTAGGGAGGGGGCCCAGCATCCATCCCCTCGATTGTGAGAGGCAGATATGCTTGCAGGGGTCCCCCTGTATAGGCTTAGGAGTAGTGAAAGAGGGGTAGAGAGAAATCTTCTCTACGTGTGCTTCGATCCACTTCGGACAGATGCCCACAGTGTGTTGTGCGTGGTGAGTCTTGGCAGAACAATGTGTATGACAACCACAGGACACTCGAACACACGACTCATGGCTCCGCAGGTTGACACGTAACCATAAGTCTAAGTGGGCTGGGGTCACGAAGTGAAATACAGAACAAAAAAATGTGAAGGGGGAAGTGAAACTGTGGCCAGCTGTTTGACGTGGACACCACCTAGAAGGGAATTCAGCATTGCATCGTGCTGCCCCGCGGGGTCTCATGGACGCGTCGGCTAGCAAACGTGGCGCGTCGGTGGCTCTACTTGGGTCAGTTGCTCAACATTCACTCTTAGTACCTCCTCAACCTCCTCACAATCCGCATCTCCCTGCTGTTGCCTTTTGTGGGAATACGCATAGGGAGTCGTCAACGATTCCGGAACCTCCATAATTAACATGTCTGCCTGTGTGTCTCTCTATCTCTGCCGGTGCGTCTGTCGCTCTCCGTCTCTCCCTTTGTTAGATCCCACTCTTACGTCCTCTTCCTCTTCAGAACCTGTCTGTTTGTCTCTCTCTCTCTCTCTTAGTGTTCGCTACCACTCTTCTGTCGTATTTCCCTTTAGAATACCTCTCTCTCTCTCTCTCTCTCTCTCTCTCTCTCTCTCTCTCTCTCTCTCTCTCTCTCTCTCTCTCTCTCTCTCTGTTTTTTTGTTCGCTTCCTCTCTTACTCCCTCTTCGTCTTCAATATCCATTTCTCCATGCTCTTCCCTCTTCTTTAAATTCCTCTCAGGATTCGTCAACGCTTCCAAAGCCTCCGCTCACATGTCTCTCTCTCTCTCTCTCTCTCTCTCTCTCTCTCTCTCTCTCTCTCTCTCTCTCTCTCTCTCTCGCAGTGTCTCCCCCCTTTCCCTCCGATTCTTGTCCTCTTCCTCGTCCCTTGCCATCCTTCAGAAGGGGAGCGGGCAAAACTGGATCGTAATATCTACTTTCGCCTATCGTCACCCACCCTCATTCTGATTTCCTTCCATTTCCGCCCTGTTTTCCCTCTATCACCTCCTCAATGCATTCTTAAGTATGCCAGGTATCCCTCGTCTCCGAAATACGTTTTTGGGTCTTGACATTGTCTTCTCCATCACCATCATCACCATCTTTCTCATAGTGTGCGCCTGTCTCGTCCTGATTCATTTAATTTCTTTTTCTCTCTTTAAATTTTTATTTCTCTCGCCATAAAGGTCACAGTCCCTAACGTTATCAAATCCGTCGGATTCGTCAGGATTCGAGCTCATAATCTATTTATAAGCAGTTACATGTGTGTACCATTCATCCACATGGACGTGCGGTCCCTTGCTCTTCCCAATGTTTTTGACGTCGTTGGTTTGTCGCCTGCTCCTCCCGTTTTCAGTACAGCTTACTGTCTTCCTCACTTTTTTTTCGGTTTTTTTCTCTGGGCTTGTGCACACACACACACACACACACACACACACACACACAGAGAGAGAGAGAGAGAGAGAGAGAGAGAGAGAGAGAGAGAGAGAGAGAGAGAGAG